CAGACTGAGCCCCCGAACCCGACCTCACATCTGTATCTTAAGTAACTTATCCTGTTTGAGAGTACAGGGCAAACTAGTGAAAGACTCTTCACACAACCTTGCCTAATTTATGAGGGCTTGAAAAAATATGTGACTTTGTCATTTCTGCAGAATCTAGTGAACTTTTCTGGTGAATTTACTCTGGATGTCTTCTTAGATTTATATAGAAGGATGTTTTGGGTTAAAGAGAAAGATTTCCTCTGTGTTACCTTCTGGAGATGTGTTTCAAGGATATCTTTCAACTCAGAAAAAAATGGCTTTCTGATACGTATGATTGTGTAACGTTACTCACTGCAAGAAGATGGAGTAAAAATACTTGTCCTTCCCGTGCTTTGTACAAGAATCAAATTATAGTTTAACTTGGGGAAGGCGAGTGGTTACTTTTTTTTTTTTTTTTGAGTCAGAGTCTCCCTCTGTCATCCAGACTGGAGTGCAGTGGCACACTGCTCACAGCCACCGCAGCCTTGACAGCCTCAACCTGCTAGACTCAGGTGATCCTTCTACCTCAGCCTTCCAAGTAGTTGGAACTATAGGTTTGCGCCACCACACCCAGCTACTTTTTGATTTATTGTAGAGATGAGGTCTCACCATTTTGCCCAGGCTGGTCTCGAGCCTGAGGGCTCAGACAGTCCTCTTGCCACTGCCTCCCAAAGTGCTGAGATTACAGAGTGGTTTCCTTTTTTGTTGAGTCAGAGTCCCATTCTGTTGTCCAGGTTGGAGTGCAGTGGCACAGTCATAGCTACCGCAGCCTCGACCTGTTGGGCTCAGGCAGTCCTTCCACCTCAGCCTCCCAAGTAGCTGGGACTAAGGCACGTGCCACCAAGCCTGGCTAATTTTTTGATTTATTGTAGAGACGAGGTCTCGCCAAGCTACCCAGGCTGGTCTTGAACCCCTGGACTCAGGCAGTTTTCTCGCCTCAGCCTCCCAAAGTGCTAGGATTACAGGTTTGAGTTACTGCGCCCAGTCAAGTTGTTTCCTTTTATGGCTGGTCTATTAGGTTTCTTGTCACTTCTCCCACTGTCTTTATAACCCATGAGAATAAGTTGCTTATTATAGAGTGCTTTTGTTTGTTTTCAACATTCTTCTGTTAATTCTCTCCAGAAAATTTTTAGCTTAAAAAAATTAAGTTTATAATTCATTTCCTTTTATTGCCAATAAACTTGAAAGAATGTGTTCACAGCCTATAGTGTATGTCCTACACTATGTAAAGACATGGGTATAAAGGACAGTTCTGGGCTGGGCAATCCTCTGGCCACAGCCTCCCAAAGTGCTAGGATAATAGGCATGAACCACCACGCCCAGCTAAGGGTTTTTTTTTTTTTTAACACTTTGACCTGTGTTTAAAATATTCCCTACATTTGTCATTTATGTTTCAACCCTATTTAATTTTTTTTCACTGTACCAACTTTATACATTTTTATGAAAGTAAATTTGCCAAGTGTTTTCTTTATGGTTTCTGAATTTTTGTAACATGCTTTGAAAAGGTTTTTCCCACTACATAACAATAAGAAAATACAACTCACATTTTTATTTTTTTCCTCTTGTTTTGCTTCTTTTTTTCCCATTTTGTTTTCTAACACTTTTAGTATTTTACTTTTTACAATGACAGTTTGTTTTGGTCTAGAATTTATATTGGAGTAAGGCACACAAACAGACCCGGCTTTAAACTTTTTCAGGTAGCTTACCAGATGGCCCAGCATCATTTATAGGCTGGTCTACCTTTTCCTCATTGATTTGAATTGTGAGAATTAAGTATTGCATGAAAGGTCATCACTTCTGATTCTCGAGGAATTCGTAGTGTATCTGGAGCTGCTTGGTTTGATATGATAGACAGTAGCCACATGTAGCTATCCAACGCTTGAAATGTTACCAGTTTGAATTGTGATGTGGCGTAAGTGTTAAGTGTAAACTGGATTTCAAAGACTTAGTGTTGGCTGGGTATGGTGGCTCAAGCTGTAATCTCAGCACTTTGGGAGACTGAGGTGAAAGGATCGCCTAAGTTCAGGGGTTCAAGACCAACCTGGGCAACTTGGTGAGACCTCGTCTTTACGATAAATCAAAAAATTAGCCAAGTGTGGTGGCACGCACCTGTAGTTTCAGCTACTTGGAAAGCTGAGACAGAAGGGTTACCTGAGCCCAGCATTTCGATTATGGGGTGGCTGTGAGTGTGCCACTGCAATCCAGCCTGGGCGACAGAATGTGACTCCACACACACACACACACACACACACACACACACAGATACACACACACACACACAAAGACTTAGTGTTTTCAAAACATGTTTTGAAATTCTGTATACATGTTAAAATTCTGTATACATGTTAAAATAACTTCATGGATTAAATAAAATATTAAAATTAACTTCACCTGTTTCTTTTTAACTTTTAAAATATACACACTAGATAATATAAACTTACATGTGTGATTCATATGGCACATCTATTACCAGTGATTCTCTAGAACAAAAGTCAGCAAACTGCCTGTTTTTTTTTTTTTTTTTTCGTTTTCGTTTTGTTTAAATTTATTGTTGAGATGAGGTCTTGCCAAGTTGCCTGGGCTGGTCTTGAACCCGTGGGCTCAGGCAGTCCACTGGCCTCAGCCTCCCAAAATGCTGGGATTACAGGCTGAACCACTAACCCCAGTCTGAAACTGCCTGTTTCTGTATGACCTGTGAGCTAAGGATGATTTTTATATTTTGAAGAATGATACGTGGTCCACAAATCCCTTTACATAAAATATTTGTTGGCTGCTTTTCTAAAATAGTCCATAGAGTTATTCCTTTAGCTTCTGAGACATCCAGGAACAAGGCAGTTTGTTTCAGAGGAAGGCTATATATTTTTAGGTCTAATTAGTTATTAAAGGTTTTCTTCTATTGTGTCAAATGCTTTCTTGCAATCCTTGCCTATTGGTCAAGGGTGTCCTATAAAGTAAAACAGAATAAGTCATCATTGTGACATCTATCTCTTGGTACTTAAAAAACGATCAGTTTCTCTTTGCAAGCCAAATATTTTCATTCTCTCAGTCATATGTTACCTTAATGGTTTCTGGATTGCCATTCTTCTTACCTGCCTTCTCTGTGTACATGTCACATTTTTCAACATCCTACTTACATTTGTTACAGAGAATTGAAGAGAGAATGTGACAGTTGGCCTGAGCAGTACGGGGCTCAGCAGCTCTACAGCCTTGTGGCTTTTGGTGCCTCCCTGGTATAGCAGCATTAGATGCAGAACTACAGAACATGAGTGCCGGTGCCCTCATTTTATAGCTGAGGTTAAGTGTCGAGGGGTACCAAAAGAGCCAGACCTAGAAGAGAACCCCATCTCCTGTTTGTGCTCCTCAGGCTTGCATCCTTAGAGAGCAGATTGCCTTGCTGGAGATTGAGGTCAGGGAGGAGAAATAGTTATTAGATTATTGGCTCCTGTTGGGTTTGGCTCTCAGCTAAAGTCTGAAAGCTGACCTACTTTGGAAGAACCTAAAGAAATTTGATGTGATTCCAAGACTGAAGTAATTTTGAGAATCCACGCTCACTGCTTAAAATGTTGGTAATATCTGCATTGTTCACCTCAACCCATTCAGTGCCTTCTTAATAATGCCCCCTCTTCGGGCATAGTGGCTTATGCCTTTAATCCCAGCACTTTGAGAGGCAGAAGCGAGAGGATTGATTGCCTGAGCCCACATGTTCGAGACCAGCCTGGGCAACTTGGCAAGACCTCATCTCTACAATAAATCAAAAAATTAGCCGGGTGTGGTGGCACACGCCCATAGTTTCAGCTTCTTGGGGAAGGCTGAGGCGGTAGGATCACCTGAGCCCAGGTGGTCAAGGCTGTGGTAGCTGTGAGTGTGCCACTGCACTCCAGCCTGGGTGACAGAGACTCCAACTAAAAAAATAAAATAAAGTGAAAAGTAATTTCCCCTCTTGCTGATTGCAGTTTTTCTTACGCCACCCCATGTTGGC